TCCTTCAAGTACTCCACCACGAGCAAGTCGTTGCGGACGGCATGCGCAGAAGACAACACGTCGGAGCCTTCGGGGATGACTTCGGTCCAGACGATCGTGTCGCTCAAGATGTTGTCGACCTTGACAATGCGCTTGCGAGGCGCGTCCAAGTTGGTCACGAAGTAAAACTCGGGGCCGTTGTTGATGAGGTACAAGTACTGAAAGTCCATGTTGTTCACCACACGGTGCACGCGCACACTGGATTGGTTGTCGGTGGTTGCCAGGAACGCTAGCACGGCGCTGATTTCAGCGACAAAGACCATGTTGGCCACGATACACCCGTCTTTCACTCGCAACAGCAAGTACTTGCCGTCGTCAGACACTTTTGCGTACACGTAGTACTTTGGGGCTTCCGGGAACGAAAACACAAACTTGTCGTCAGCTTGGGGCGTGCCAATCTTGTGGTACCAGATCTGATGGTTGGTGTTCAAGTCGGTTTCCGTGCCCGCCGACTTTTGCTCGGCCGCGGTGGCGAAGGTCTTGGGGGCGGGGTACCGTCCGTAGAAAAAGCCCTACACCAACCGACATGAGAATCGTCCATGGAGTGTTGAGTACAAACGAACCTTGTCGTCGTGGGTCCAGGAGAGATTGCTCACTTTGACCCATTCCAATTTGTCCTCCAAGTGCTCGATGGTACCGTCGGCAGTCAGCGCAAGGACCTTAACAGTTTCCCAATCGGAGCCCCCCTTGGACACACCATACGAGAGGTACAAAATGCCCGAGTCCGCCTTTCCTTCCGAGAAGCTGAATGTACCCAATGCAGCCGTACCGTCTTCTGCCAAAGTGTTGGGATCGAGCAACACCTTGGGTTCACTCGTGAGACTGTCTTGCACGTACAACACGCTTTGATTTTGGAGCCCGTCGTTCTTGAAAAAGAAGTATCGGTTGCCGCGTTGAAACGGCGATGAGTACTTTTCATAGTTGAACATTTCGGTGTTGCGCGCGAGGAATTCTTGGCGGAAAGGGACGTCTTGGAACACCTTTTGCGTCAACTCGTTCTGCGAAGCCACGAACGCTTCAGTCTCGGGGCTGTCGGGGTCTTCCAACCAGCTGCACGGTACGATGAGCGTATATAGACGATCATCCAGGAGAGACTATCTCATACCGGTACGGGTCGGCGACGACGTTGCCGTGGAGCACGTCTTGGTGGTCGGAGCGGCGGGCGGATGGATATTCGAAGTGGGAAGGCATCTTTCTTTGACAAGGTAAATTCAACTTTGACGCGCTCTTTACCGGCAACCGGACAATTTGTATCAACCGGACAAGTTGTATCAACCGGACAAATGTATCCGGTCAGACATTTGGATTCAATTTCTGGGAATTTAAATCTCACGATCACCGTTCCTTTCCTCGCAGCCACACGTCTCGATATCATGGAGAACTTATCGGTACGACTCGAGGAATCGCATTCAATATGCATGGCCATGGCCGTTTGCGAGTTCCCCCGTGGGCAGTCGTTCATTCGATGTCGCCTCGCATTGCCACGTGGACAACCTACATCTAAATATATATACTATGTAGTAATACATTACGACTATCTTTCGATAATATTATTGCATATCCTTCACTTGGGATTTGTATACTCCAGTTTCAATCATTTGCCCGAACTTTTGGAGTCTACCCCCCAAACTGTGAACATTCAGCCACTCTCCATCTTCCTCCACGAGCAACTTCTCCCTTCGTGATACCTCGCCATGTCAACTCAAGCCCACGTCGTACGAGAAGAGAGCACTTGTCTGCACGAGACTTGTCATGCTGACCATGTGTACCTATGTAGGAACCCTCCCGTGTGCTCTTTCTTGAAAACTTGGCCCCTCAAGCAACGGACGCCGACATCGAACAAGCCCTTGAACGTTACGGCGACGTCGACAAAGTCATTATCCTCCGTAAGAAACACATCCAAAGCTCCCCTTCCGACCCCTCCAAGAACACCCAAAATGCCCTCGTCCAAATGTCCAACTTGGACGACGCCATCGCCGCCCATGACGCTGGAAACGACCAACCTGTGCTCCTTCAGGGACTTCCCGTGTCGATCTCGTACTCGAAGAACCAAGAGCTGCGAGGCCAAAGCAATGCTCCCTCGCAACCCTCTCCTGCTCCTGCCCAGCAACGCGCGACGACTTCGACCAAGCGCAACACGCGCGAACATGCCGACGACGGACAGAACCGCATCTTGTTGGTGACTGTGCAAAACCCGTTGTACCCCATTACCACGGACTTGATCGGCAAAGTTTTCAACGTGTACGGTCAAGTGGAGAAAGTCGTCATCTTCATGAAGCCCGTCGGCTTGCAAGTACGTATCTCCACGAACCCTCAATCTCACAGGATGGATTATTTGCAGTGCTTGGTGCAATTCGTGCACGTTCCCGACGCCGTCACGGCCAAGAGCAAGCTCGACAGCGAAGCCATCTACCCCGACTGCTGCTTTATGGTGATCAGCTACTCCAACCTTTCCGTACGTGCCGACACCCATCCACACATTCCTTCCTTTCTTACTCTTCTGCCGCAGGAGTTGTCGGTCAAGGAAAACAGCCTCAAGACCCGCGACTTCACCAATCCCAACTTGCCCGTGCCTGTGATGGACACTGCCATCAACGCCCCGCAGTCGACCATTTCGTTGCCGTTGAGCCCTCCCAACGGCGACGCCGCGTCGCCCTCGACGGCTCAAAAGTTGCATGGCGCCGGGGATGGCCACGACGCGTACTCGCCCGTGCTGCTCGTGTGCAACTTGAAGGAAACGGTGTCGTGCGATAAGTTGTTCAACTTGTTTTCGTGCTACGGCAACATCACGCGTGTCAAGAAGCTGCATTCCAAGCCGGTAGGACATTCTCATCTCGTTCGATATATATATATATTGTGCATTTCACCCAAATATTATTCGACTTTGAGTCATTTGGCCAAATAGCTTTCGAACCTATTTGACCCTATTTAAGCTTGTACACACTATACTATACAATGATGAGTATATATGTGATTTGCCCAATGCGAAGGGGGGGTCAAACGTTTGGATTGGCAGAAATTCGACATGACATGATTTCATTGGCTCAGGCAGTTCTTTAATCGACTCTCCTGAGACATTCGATTCTGCCAAGGACTCTAGTTTTGAATCGATTTGACAATATATATATATATATATATGAACTCAATGTGTGTGTGTATAGGACCATGCATTGATCCAATTCGTGAACGAAACGTCGTCCGGGTCTGCGCTCACGCACCTTCGCGGGTTTGTGCTGGAGGGCCGATCGCTTGAAATCCGTTTCTCCAAGCACCGATACATTGCCGGTCCCCGCGCCGGCGGCGCAGAAGTCGAAGAAGAGTACGCCGCCTATACTTGTTGATTGATGGGTGGCTCATATGTGAGTGAGGTAGAGATGAACATGCCACGGCCAAGGAGTACGCGCTCGCTGCGAACCGGTTCACGGGCAAGTACGCCAACTACACCAAGCATATTTACAGCCCCACGAAAGTGATCCACATTTCCAATCTCGTGGAAGAGTTTGACCAAGCGGTAGGTTGTATATCAGGCCACTGCTCGCCGTTGGCTTTTTGCGATGACATCATGAAAAATCGATGTATATTTAGGAACTGACGGAACATTTGCGGGAATTTGGACGTGTGGACCGCGTCAAGTTGAGAGTATTTGAAAACGCCAAGGGCCATCCGCAATTGTTGGCCGAGGTACGTCGAACGACCGAGTGTACTTTAGCGAGAGCCCCCCCCCTGATGGATGACGTGGTATGTAGTTTCCCACTATCGAAAATGCCACCAACTTGCTGGCTGGCGCGCACAACTCGGAGTTTGCGGGCAAGAAGTTGAAGGTGGCGTTCTCCCGCAACAATGCCAACTAAGTGTGCAATACATTTTTCCACGTGGTTTACATCATCCAATCTCTCAGCTTGCGGCCGGCCTGGGGCACGAACTATAGATTCAAAGACATTTCATCAGAGGATCACGCTGCGATGTTAAGTTGGTAGAGAAGCACATACTGTATAGCCACTTTGTAGTGGCTGCTATACCCTGGGATATATATACCCCGCCTGCGTATCATGGATGTTGAACTGCTCGCCTTGTATCGGGCCACCAGCTTTCGGAAGGGGCGTCGGATCAATCCATTGTACATGTCGTGAAGATAATCGAGGAGCCAATCAAAAGGGCGCAATCCCGAGGAACCAATCAGACGCGAGCTAGAACCGCGACACGCCATTGGACGAAACACGATGGCTGGGGACCCACGGTGGTCAAATTTGGAATCACGGGATGACTGCTGGGGCGCACCTGCCCGATTACACGGCCGAGGAAGTCGAGCACTTCCGCTCCCTGGGCGTCGATGGCGCCATGGACATTCTGCTGGGCATGCCAGGCCGACCTTCGTACACATGTGTCGGTGATTCGCGGGAAGTGGCCGTGGAAATGATGGAGTCGTACTTGACCCGTCTGCAAATGGACATCTCGCGCTTGTCCATTGTGCACGTGGCGGGAACAAAGGGCAAAGGATCGACGTGTGCGTTCACAAACAGCATTTTGCGAGCGCATGGCGTGAAGACGGGGATGTTTACCTCGCCGCACTTGATCCATCCCACCGAACGATTCCGCATCAATGGCAAACCCATCAGTGAAGCCTTGTTCTTGGCCAACTTTTGGGCCGTTTGGGATGGCCTCAGTGCCACAACGGTGCGTACTTTTGTCCATATGTCCTTCATTTCTAACTATGTGATTTCAGAGCAAGGCTGGCGTTTACCCTCCCATCGCCAACTTCTTTCGCTTTTTCACACTCATGGCGTTGCGCCTGTTCCAAGCGGAACGTGTGGACGTGGTCATCTTGGAAGTGGGTCTCGGCGGCCGCTTGGACGCAACAAATGTCGTCAAGAACCCAGTCGTGTGCGGCATCACGACGCTCGATTTGGACCATACCCGCGTCTTGGGCGACACCATCGACAAGATCGCTCGAGAAGTTCGTTCAATATCATTACTATTATCGTCATGATGTATATATTTATATATCCTTGCATAGAAAGCGGGGATTATGAAGGCCAATGTACCCGTGTACACGATCGCC